GACATTTGGCGGGTAAAGTGATGCTCCGCTCCCCTCCTTAACCTGCTGTCATCTCTCAGAGCACGTTCTCTGGCAGCTAGGGCAAGGCCTAGTGGCGATGTGGGGTCAAGAGCCTTTCCTGTTAGAGGGTGGATGAAGGTGGTAGTAGCGGGTGCTGGCTGCCTGCCTGCTGCTGTGTATAAATCAGTAGGCACAGACTTGGGCTGATAGTCCAGAGCAGATGAAGAGTACTCAGGTAAGCCAAAAGCGGGAGGCATACTGCGAGTATGATGGATGAAAGTATCCCCGGAGAACATGCCCTCATCAATGGACTTGGACGGGCGCAGCCTCGTTGATGAACTTTCAGCCTGTGTGTTAAGCGGTTGCTGTGATACCTGAGTCCGTGTTACTCCTCCTATTCCATCGCTCACTCCTCCGAGGCTCACGTCCTCCTCGGCAGACATGAACAAGGAGGCACTCTTTCTGCGGGCTTCGTGAAACCGCTCCCTGTCTCGCCGAGCTGCGCCCACAATGGCGGCTCCGAACTGGCTGGTAAAGTCCAGATTATCCTGGGCTCGAATAGAAGGCAAGGATGGAGGTGGGGGTGCTGGAATGGATGGTGGAGCAGGGGGCTGTGGAGCAGGGGTGGAGGGTGGAGGACCATGCGGTGTTTTGGATTCATCTGCCTCCCCTGCTGCTGGAACATCAGCCTCCACGCTGCTGCCCTGGCTGCTCCGCCCACTGCTGCTGGTTGAGGGGGCCTTAACGATGATGGTGGGAATAGGAATGGAGCTTTTCTCCATGGAGCCTTTGCCCCCCAGTGTGCCCTGGCCCATACGCAGGTCCTCCACTTTAGACTGCTTTACCAATGGACCCTTACCTCGCCGCGCCCCTCCTTTAGGACCACCTGCTCCAGCGCCAGCTGCACTGCGGTCTGCACGCTGGGGTTGACTCTGGGTAGTCTGTTGTTGCTGAGGCATTACAGTGGCAATGCTAGATGGGGGGATGGCAGTGCTGTATCCTCTCCTAAGACCAGCTGCCTTGGCCCCTGCACCAGCCCCTACGCCAGCTCCAACAGGCTCCCCAGTGTAGGCAACCTTCCGCGAAGCAGTCCTGCTTTGAGCAGTGTGGGCAGCTGCGTGTGCATACGGGGTTGTGTGGTCCACCGCTCCAGCACTGGGGCCAGTGCTGGCACCACCAGTCCTCTCCCTGCCTCCATGAGTGAAGTGTAATGCCTGGGAGTAGGGCTGGTAGTGTGCAGAGGTGGATGTGGACTGGGACACGGAGACAGAGGGCTGCTGCGATGTTTTTGTTCTCCAACCGAGTGGCGGAGCAGAGGAGAACGGTGGATCCGGTGGGGCTGTGGTGGGAGGAGGGGGGATGTCATCTGGGCCAGGCACCGACAAACTCCGGGCAAACTTCATGGCTGGAGGATGGAGGAACTGCTTCTCCTCCTCAGGCACCCCTACATAAAAGGAGAAAATAGGGATGAATTGGGGTTTAACTATGAGCATATAAGAAATAAGAAAAAAAGAAAGGGGGGGGGGGGGGTGTTAAATGTACAAAGGTAGAGAACAAGAGAAGCTGAGAGTAATATATGAGAGTGTCTGTCTAAATCTGCCTGCCCAAGCACCTGCCAGCAAGTCTGTCCTCAAATCTTATGTTTGTTAGTATATAATTCAGTTAGTGCTACATATTCCACAAGCACTAGCAATTAGTAAGCGAAGCACAGCAGCATTTGTGATGTGGATCACAAGAGAACACATGAATATTTCTGAGGGAACCTTAGCAAAGCCTTACTAAGCAACACACCCATAAAATAACCCATCAGAGGGAAAGAAAAATGTAGGTTACCAGCACTACTTCAGCACTACCAGCACTGTTAGAAATAGTATAAGACAAACAAATATCTTTTTTTTCTACAGATAAAATGCACAGAGTTTAGAGCCACAGACAGGACATTTTTGGCTACAGACAAACAGGTCAGCACAGCACAGACCTCTACTGGCCCAGAGGACAGACGGACAGGTGGACAGAGGGGCAGACGGAAAAAACAGACAGCCTCACCGATGGATTTTTGCCGCAGCATACCGTGCGGTGGGCCATGACCTGAGGTGTATTGTCCACGGTCGTAGCCTAGGCCCAACCCTGATGACATCACCCCCATCCCGGACTGATCCCCGTAGTTTGGCTGAAATGATAAAAATCAAAAGCCTGAGAGTCATGAGACGCACATGTATATAACGCTTCATGGGAACAACAATAGATGAGACTAAAACAAGTCTGCAAATAGTTTCTTGTTTTGTTCTTCTTCACCGGTACAGCACTTGTTCACTTAGCAATATTTGTATGACTTTAAAGGTACTTTGTGTAATCATCCTCTGCAGAATTTGTCTTAACTTTCGCCACCAGGTGGCAGCATTCTACTGCTCATTGTTGCAAATAAAATTTAAGATGTGCTGCTATTCTTTTCACAATTTCTCTTTAGCTACAGCCATTTTTTCAAGGTTCTTTTCCCTTTGCCAGGACTTGTCATATATTGTTATGTTAATTTTATTATAAATTGTAAAAGTTGTTGTGAGCAGTTTCATGTAGGAACTATTTTCTTTGAACATTTATTGCCATCTGCTTTGTTTATAATAGTTGTGCACCAATGATTGGTTAGTAGATTATCATCATAGGACCGTGTTTAGATTATAGCAGTAACATTTACAGACAAAGTAAATACTACTTCCAGCTACTTTCGGCTTAGTCATAGTATGACCAAGATTTACAAAGAAGACTTAATTTTTTATTCAATATGACGCATAATGAGTGACTAAGACCATAAAGTCATCAGCAATTGGTTTATATGTGGTTTCTAGTCTATCCTATAGACTTGTATATTACAGGAAGTCTTTTGTCAATTACAGCTATCGCCATCTTGTGGTTGTTAGATAGAATGCAGGTTTAGACACTTCTGTATTGTTTTAATTTTTCCAATGTGGAAGAATGTCTATACTTGTGACAAAGACCCTCTTTCCCCATAGGCCTATATGTCCAATCTAACAGGCATTGGCCACTCAATTATTTGTTT